TAATAATAATTTTTTTTTAAAAAAGAAGCCATGGTGACTGTGTTGCATTTGGCTGCTAATTGAAAACCTGGTGATTCAAACTGACCAGCGGCTCCACAGAAGTAAAGTTTGCTCCTGCAAACCTGTAAGGATTTACCACCTTGGAAACCCTCTGAGAGTGCACAACAACAACATTGAGCTTAATTCCTTCTGAGTAATCTTGACACATGTTAGGACAAGGTTCAGATTCATTGTCCATAGGATTGCTGTGCGTTGTACTCAACCCCACGACACAATAACAAGAATCTTGTAGTCACAACGTAAAGGGCAAGCCTTTCCTCTAGTGTTGAGAGCTCTCAGGATCACTGGGCATGAACATTAAGTATTGTTATGATTGGGTCTTTCTAGCATTGATACAGACACTGACAGATATTCCGCAAAGGGAAGCTCTTAGCTAAACAAAAAAGAAGACACCTCAAGTGGCATTTGTGCTGGTGTTGTGTCATGGTAAGAACCAAACTGGCTGAGAAACAGACAGATCTAAGGAACTGCATCCAATGAATATTACACCCAGCAGTTCCACTTCTTATAGGGAGGAGCCTACCAATTGCAGATTAGCCCAGAAGGAAAAAATAAGTGTGGACGAACTGGTCAAACAAGATCAAGGGTTTGCTTTGTTGTCAGTAGGAAGTGGTTGGGGCTGGAGGAAACAAGTACCCAGGCTTATGCACATGATCGTCTTTGACGTTACCTGAACCAGCTATAATCAAGAGACTGAAAACTGACCACATCCCCCAAACATCTACGTGCCTGAAGGCTATGACTTGAGAACCAAGAGTGAGAACAAAAAGGATGAGAGCTAAAATGCAAAGCCAGGGAGAAACACATGACATTTGGATACCAGAAAGTAAAACAAGGCTTACTTGAAAGCCAAAAGTCAAGTCACCTGACTTTCAATTCCCCAGCTGACCAGAAAACCAGTCACAGTTGCGTTCATTTCATGGCAACCCGTCCAAGTAGAGCTCTGTTTCATGGAATTTTTCAATGGTTGGTTTTAATTTTGGAAGTAGACTACCAGTCCTTGTTTTATGAAGTCTGAGCAGACACTAACTTTCTACTTTTGGTTAGAATCCAAGTTGATTAAGCAGGAAATCCAATTATCAGATTCCACAGAGCAATAAAACTATTTGGACCTCCTCCAGCTCTTTCCTGGAAGACCCTTGTGTGTACTATCTTTTTGTGACAGGTTGCCAACCAAAAGGTTGGTAGTTTGAACCTACCCAGTAGTACCATGGGAGGAATGTTGTGACAATCCACTTCCATAAAGATCGTTGTTTGCCATCGAGCTGGGGGCAGACCCATAGCTGACCTTTCAGGATGTTTTCAGATGCAGTAAATTGCACAGGAGTTGCTTGCCCATCACCAGAACCCTGTGAAGCAGTTCTCCTCTGTAACACATGGGTTGCCATGTGTCAGAATGGGCTAGAATGAAACAGATTCTTCCTTAAAAAAATTTTTTTTTTAAAAAAAAATCCTTTCTCAAGGGAGCTCTGGTGGCCTAGTGGCAAGATGCTGCACTGCAATCCCAGAGGTACACTGTTCAAATCCACCAGATGCTCTGCTGGAGAAGGAGGGAGCAATCTCCTCCTGTACCAGTCCAGTCAGATCTGATTTGATGGTACACGTAAAAATAATACAATAAAAATTTTTAAAAAAATGAAAAAAATCCTTTCTCGGAGAGTTCCACTGTACATGTAGCATGACTCCCTGATGAGATATGTTGTTACTCGGGTCTGCTGAGTCAATTTTCAACTGTTATCAACTCATGTGACAGCAGAACGGTTTATAGCATTCTCTTTGCTATGACCTTTACAGAAGCAGGTTGCCAGTTCTTTCTCCCAACAACCTACGTATGATTATTGTTGCTGTCATGTACCGTTGTGTTGACTACGACTCGTAGTGACCCTATGAACAATGGCTCTGAACCTTGCTGTATCCTGAGCCGACCTCACCATCTTTGACACATCATCTGCCTCCATTGCCACAGTCATTGGGTCAGTCCATCTCATTCAGGGACTTCCTCTTTTGCCCTGCCCTTCTACCCTTCCAACCATCATGTCTTTCTCCAAGGACTGGTCCCTCCTGGTAACATGTCCGAAGTATGTGAGACAGTTTCACAATCCTTTCCTTCAAGGAGCATTCTGGTTTCAGCCTCTCTAGGACAGACCTGTTTGCTCTCTTGGAGGTCTATGGTATGTTCAGTACTCTTCTCCAGCCCCACAACTCAAAGGCTTCAGTTTTTCTATCTAGATGAAGCTCTCAGATTCATAGAAAGCAATTGAGAAAACTATGGCCTGGATCAGGTGTACCTCAGTCTCTAGACTGACATGGTACATGATTACTTAACCAATTCTACAATCAGTGCTCTTTTAATGAGATATATACAAGGTAAAATTCTACCTGTTTCTCAACTCCTTTAATACTCTTCTCTAGAGACTCTGAACAACTGAAATCAAATGAGGTGGCAGTGGTTGCACATATGACTCCCAGTGACCCTATGAACAAGAGATGTGAAATTTGCCCTATCCTGGACTATCTTCACAGGCTCTGATATGCTTGAGCCCATTGTTGACATCACTATGTGAATCTATCTTGTTGTTTTGGGAGTTTTCATCCATTCATTAATTGTTGCACATTTTCCTCTCTTCCCTTCCTTCCCCTTCCCCAGTCCACTTTGCAATGCACCTCTTATTCAGATTGTTGGTGTGCATAATGCCTTATCAATCTACCCTGCTAAGGATATTTCCTTCTTCTTAGGACCCTCTACCTCTCTCATCATGATGTCTCTTTCCAAGGACTAGCCCATCCCCCCACCCCCGATAATATGCCCGAAGTATATAAGATTATGTTTCACTATTCTTTCCTCTAAGGACCACCTTGCTTGCATTTCCTCCAAGGCAGACTTTTTTTATTCTTTTGGCAGTCCGTAGAATATTCAACAGTCTTCTCCAACACCACAATTAAAAGGCCTCAATAATTTTGCTGTCATTCTTATGTATCATCCAACTTTCAGATACATAGCAAATCAAATGAGAAGCTAAAAATTCCCTGCCTCTTGGCTTCTAAATCTAAGCAGGCACTGTATTCTCTCTGCTGGTTTTAGCTTTAGCTTCATAGTTATTCTGGTGACTGCCAAAATTGCTTTAAAAAGTCTTGCCTCCTGCTAAACTTTGCCACTGCTACTGGAGTGAGATGG